GGGGGGGACTGGGGGGGAAGGGAGCGGGGCGGGGCCCGGCCCGCCGTGTCTTGTTTTTACCTGAGGATATTGTGGGCCTCCATGCTGCGGTTTTGGTTGCTGGAGCAGACCACAGCCACCCGGAGCGGCGAGGAGGGCATGGCCGGCGAAGGAGGGGCAGGGGCCGGGGGGCGAGTGGGGAAAGAGAGTGGGCGGCTAAGGGCGCGCGGCGAGACCCCCTTCCCTCGGCTCTCCTCACGGCGACGGCGGCAGCTGCGAAGGCGGCGGAGCAACCCTCAGACGTCCTCTCTCTTTCTGGCTCTCACAAAATGGCGGCCGCGGGGAAGGGAAGAGGCGGGGCCTGGCGACGTGTCCCGGGCAGGCGCCGAGCGAGACGCCCCGCCCACTCAACGGCGCTTCCGGCCCAACCCGGGGGGAGCGAGCAGCGCTGCGGTTTCCCGTCTGGGTAAGGCCTTTCTGGCTCGAGGACTCTATGGCTAGTCCCCCCCTCCCCCGTCCTATCCCGGCCCTCTCCGCAGAGATCATTTGCATGTTTCCACGGAAACGGTTTCCGGCGAGCCAGAGGAAACCTGAAAGCGGCGCGGAAGCCGGGAAGCGAGGCGATTGGGAAGGGAACAGCGCCGCCCTGGCGGCATTGATGGATTCTGCCACATGGCGCGACCGTCGCGACTTTCTACCAACAGCACATTCGCCCTGCCGTGGCTTGCCACCTCCAGGTGGAGCCTGGAGATCTCCCGGAATGACAGCTCATCTCCAGATAACACAGATCAGTTCCCCCAGAGGAGATGGATGTTTTGGAAGATAAACTCTACAGCGTTATGCCCAGCTGAGGTCCCTCATCACCAGTGTTCCCTCTAAGCTGAGTTAGTGTGAGCTAACTCACAGTTTTTTAACCTCTGGCTCACAGATTTTTGTCTTGGCTCAGGAAGGGAGGGCTCCAGAGCAAACTAATTTATGCAGCAGCCAAATCGCTCGCTCACACCTTTAATGCCAGTCACTCACAAAGTAGGATTTTTGCTCACAAGACTCCACAGCTTAGAGGGAACATTGCTCATCACCCCAAGCTCCATCCCCAAAAATGTCCGGGAATTTCCCAGCCTGGAGGTAGCAAACCAAGGGCTCCATTGCAAAGTTTGTTTTGTAACTTCTGAACCCTCCCGGATGGCAAACACTAAGATACATGGCTAAGGCTGCATGGTATGTCCTTAGGGTTCCCAGCGCTGGCTTCCTGAAGAGGGGCCTGAGGGAAAACCTCTGTTCTTCTAGACGTCATGGTATTCCATAGAGTCCACACTCTCAGGCTGCCATTTTCTTCAGGCAACCTGATCTCTGTATTCCAACATTTTATTGTGTCTGGATGTGCTAATGACTCCATGCATCATTCTCAGCTGATCTACAATTATAACAAATAAAGATTGATTGGAGTCTGGAGATGAATTGTAATTCAAGGAGGCCTCCAGGGCCCGCCTGGAGATAACCCAGAATTACAACTGGGCTTGCAAGGCCTCCGGCTAGGGTAGCCAAATGGTACACACCTCCTCGGCGGGGGACTCATGGGGACCTCCAGTTGCACGCGCGTGCGACATATCTACGTCACCCAGATGTGACGTTCACGCTGGGGGCAGGGCCACAGCCATTTGAGGGGAAAACTCTATGTTTTCC